TCAACATAATGCATCAAAGCAAAATAATGCTTAAAGAAAAGCATCTAGAATAGTTGAGTGATAGATGTTATTTTTATAGTATTTTTAATTTTATAGTATTTTTAATATAGTTTTTATTAGGATTTTTAGTATTTTTAATTACTTTAATTAGTTTTTATTTAGTTTTATTTATGTTTTTGTTCACAGCTTCCTTGAATCATATTTCACTTGATCTTAAGGAATTTCATAGAATTTTTATAGAAAATTAGCCAAAAATGCATAAAAGATTGTACCCAAGCCGTGCCAGATAGCACGCCCGTGCTGAAGACCAGATTTTGCATTGGGCTGAGAATGTCAGTTCCAACTCACACCAATTGTATGGACCCGCATGAGATGCTTTTCTGATGTACCAATCAAGTTTAAATCTTATTTAGACGTTGGGAGAGTCATAATTGGGAAGAAATACAAAGCCTAAACAGTTCCTATCTCCAAAAGATTTCTTACTCAATAAAGATTCACTTTCCTAAACAAACACGAAGATTTATTTCCAGGAAGTCTATATTATACAATAGAGAGACTAGCCAAGTCAAGGGTGCTCGATTATTGTATACTTCGTCATCTTTTTGATTCATTGTTTCTCTCTCTCTCTCCTCTCTCTCTCTCTCCCAAGACTTCAGCTATTCAGTTTGTGTCAAGATTCGAGGAGCGCCCAAGCAATCCTTTAAACTGTTTTTATTTCTAAAATCTTTTTCTTGTTTCTTATTTTCCACTTATTCATGTTGATATGAGAAATTTTACAAGTTTAATGATGTTTATTTTAATTTACCTTGTTTGAACTAAAAAACTCTCATACTAGGGATTTGATGCTAGCTTAATTTTGCATATCCAATTGTTAATATGTATAGAAATTTGGCTTTTTTCCCTTGTTCAATGAGTAATAATTTCATTATTGAACTTAGAACTGCTTTCCAAAGCAAGTTCCCCTTGCATTGACTTATCTTCATTAATCATTATCGGGGGAGAAGGGTTTTCTTTTGTACTGCATTCAGGGCGGCTTAACAAACTTACCATCTTGAGAATTAATAAACTTGAAGTGCGGAGCAGCCTTTGCGTTTGACTCATGGTGAGGGTTCATAAGTTAACTAACTTAGGCTTATGGAATTCATAAACAATACCAAAAAACCTTAATATTTAATTCAGTTTGATTGCGCTGTTGGGGAGATAGGTAAGTTACGACCGGGGATTAAAATAGGTTAACAATACATCCTCGGGAGCAGCTTGTTGGAGTGATTTTAGGGTGTTTCCCCTACTTGAACAATCTTAAATTGATTAACGAAACTAATAAATTAAATTGGGTATAGGAGCAATTAGGGTGAATTGTTATAAAATCCACTAGTAGCTTTAAAATCTTGGATGCTTTCGTCAAATATTGTTTGCTTGATTTCTTTTTTGTTCTCTTTTATTTTGTTTTAATTTAATTTCCTTAAAATATTCCCTTTATTGCGTTTATAGATAATGCTAGCGTGTAACTAATTTTAGTACCTAGTAGCTTTAAATCCTTGATTTCTTTTCGTCAAATATTGTTGCTTGATTTCTTTTTGTTCTCTTTTATTTGTTTAATTTAATTTCTTAAAATATTTCCCTTTATTGCCGTTTAAATAATAGTAGGTTAACATAATTTTAGTACTTGGTACACAGTCCTCGTGGAAACGATACTCTATTCACTCTTTATTACTTATTGCGATTTCGTACACTTGCGAAAATCACTGTTGTGGAGCTAAAGGAACAATAAGCATCAGTACTAAAAAATAGATGTGAAATAGATGGAGCATGACGTGATACCTTAACACCATGGGGCTAACCCCTTCAAAAGAGCGTGGAGTGCTGATAATCCTTCTGCAATAAAAATAAAGAGATATGGTAAAATTAAATCTCTTTACCGAAGCTCGAAGGAATGACATGCCCATTCCATTTACCATTGTTACAAATATAATAGCAGATTGTAGACACCATCCTCATCAACTTATCAACTCATCCCGAATATAAACCCAGTTTAAGCATCATAAGCCGCAAAAAATCCTATTCTACTCGATGATAAGCCTTGTTCGTATCTGTTTTCAATGCCACAAGTCCATCCTCTCATTGAGTTTTTTTGTTTAAGATGATGCATAACCTCAAATTATCCCATTATATTATCTGTTATAAATTATATAGTTAAATTATAACTTTTTTGCTTTGTTTTTTTACCTAATATACCTTTATGTTAATATCCATTAAAATTAAATAGTTCGCATTAAATTGTTCTTGAAATTAATCAAATTATAACCAAACATTTGATTAAATAGAATTTTGTTGGAGAATTAAAAGTTGGTATTTTAATTTTTTTTATATCAAGATATATTTAATGCTAATGTAAGTAGTTTAACTATTATATTTGTCTATTATATTTGTTGATGGGCTTAAACTACAAAAATACCCTCAACTATGCGATTTGTTGCAAAAATACACTAAAACGACCTTTGTACCCCGGGCAAACCTATTTTAAAACTTAGATATATTGACATCCTAGTTTAATTTTTAAACCATAAAAGGACTAAAATAATATTTAGTGCGCGACCGCTGATTTACTTTGGGTTGGCTTAACCTAAGGATCCAAAACTCATCGTTTTTGTACCTTTCCTCAACCCAAAAACCCTCTCTTGCAAACTAACTATTCAACTTCTAAAACCCCCTGTCTCCCTCGCAAATTCTATACCATTCGAATTTCCCTCACCTCAAAGCTAAGAGAGGCTGTTCTTTTGTTTAATTCATCTTTCTGTATCGCAGCACAAGGTGATTGCTCGCCAACATCGATGTAAAGGCGTGATTGGTAAGCAATTACTGTGTTTTCCTCAACTTCACTTATTCCTTTGTTTTCTGGGATAGAATTGAAGTGGTATTTTGTGCATAAATTAGATTTGTTTGCTGTGATTTTTTGTTTTTGAATTTTTGATTTTAGATTCTCAGAAATCATAGAATGTTATTAATAAGGAATAAGAAATTAATTCATGGAGCTTATCAAAGTGACATGATAATTTAATTCATAGATCACTTGTGTTCGTTACATATTATTCCATACAAGATTCATTCTCCAATTTCAACGTTAAATTGGTTTGTGGTATTCTTTTAGAGGATAGCTTTATGGTGGATCATAATATGAGTCTAAATTTCTGATTAGTCAATCTAATTTATAAATTTCTTTCTTGCCATCTCTTTAAAGTTTATGTTTAACATTAGGCATATGAGATCTCATATTTTAAGCGGTGGAGAGTAATTAGTATACTATAAAATCCAAGAAAATTTATTTGAGAATGGCTATTATTTTCTTATTTATTAATCTGAATTAAAAGAGATTTTCTACATTTTTGTATTGAAGACAAACAGCAACTTAAAGGTTTGAAGCTAATAGTGGATTGTATTATGTAGTAATGATTATATTCTACTGCAGTTGCTTTATGTTCATTAAAAAGATTGATATCTTTCCAAAGCTATTTTGACAACTCTTCCTTCCCATATCATGTCTGTTTTAGTTTAATTGCATTTTTAAAATATTTACTTAGAGAGTGAAAAATATGTTCCGGGTGTTTCAGTATTCAGTTCGTGTGGTTGAGCTCCTACTATTTTGGTTTCTTTTTCATTCCGATTCGATTCACTATGATTCTTTGATTCGATTTATATTCCCTAGAAACTATGCACAGTTCTAATTATTAATGTAAAAAAATATACAATATTATTAAAAATTCAAATAAATAATAGCTCACCCGTAAAATTTAACGTGTATTAAAGTTGGGATGAATCTATGTATTCACCTCGAAATTTAAGAAAAGGGAAAATTGTCTGCAATGAGAATCAAAGCTTCAAAGATCAAAATTTGTGCCTTTCAAAAAAAAAAAAAAAGATCAAAATTTGTGGATGCTTGTCTACAATTAGTCAATGAGGGATGGCCGAGGCTCCATGCTATCAGCTGATGCCACTTCGTCCATGTGATTGGTTTATCATTTCAACCAAAGTCCAATTCTAAAGATGCTTTCACATTTCTCCCCTTATGGGATTATTGCCGGTACCTCTTTCCATATTGCCACAAAAATCTTCTCAATTATATAAAATTATTTAACATTATTGTAAATTTAAATATTTATTTTTTTACAAGGAAATTTAAATATATATTTTAAACTTAAGAGTGAATATGATAAAATTAAGTATAAGAAAATGAAATCTTATTATTTACAAATTATTCTATATGTCAAATTCATTTAATTTGTATCAAAATATTTTCCTTCTCAATTTTTTTAAAAAATATATATTAAATATTTAATTAAATTTATATGCATAGACTTCTTTAAAAAATTTTAATTATACACGTGTTACAAAAAAATAACATAACATGTTAACTAAACTTTCCAATCTTCATAAAAAACACCTCGTTTCAAAAATTGAAAATGTACTAAAATATTAATCATTTACGATTGACAAAATTAAATTTGAATAAGTATGAATAAAATTTCAATATTTTTTTTGGACTTTAGGTGTCAGCAATGCAACTAATAAAATTCAATTGGGGCTACGGGCTGAGATAAATCGGGTCAAAATGGAAAAATTAAATAGAATAAATGGGATTTGTCTGGTTTTAAAATAATTAAATTTGATTTTAATTTTTATAGGAAATATTTTTTACTGCAAAACTGAAAATCTAAAAACCCTTAAATTAAGTAGAAATTGAAAAATTAAACTGAACATTGATTTAGTTTTTTTAAGTTTGGCATGTCAATTTTTTTATATATAAAAAAAATTAATTTATTCTATTTGTATTCATTCGGTTCGGTTAGTGCCAACATAAATGCATGCCCATAGGAGAAAGGGTAGAATGAATAAGATACAGAGATAAAGCATTCACCAATCCAAAAAACGGCAGATATACTTAATGAGACGGCAGATACACTTAATGAGGCTATTTAATGAAATGAATTAAAACCAAACCCGCTAACTTCCCAGCGGTATAGAAACTTTGTTCATACTTTCACTCGCAAATGAAAATGGTTGTCAACATATACAATGTGAACGTATATAGCCAACAAGCAGGTTCCTATATAGAAAAAAAAGGCCAATGCTAAAAGTAGTAACTGAGAGACTACTAGTTTTAGAAGGACAATGGAAAGAGAAAAGCAGGAAGTTACATTACCTGTTCTGTCAATGGTGATACTAATCCTGTGGTTGACGATGATTTCACCAACAAAGGCCTGCCCGCCGCAAGGCACTGCTTCTGCGTGTAAAGATTGCGTTGTCGATCAAATGAAGTATAAGTGCCAGTCGTGTATCCCAATTCTCCGGTGCATGGCTCGGTGCTTGTGGAATGGCGCGTCGAGATCTAAGTGCATTAACAGATGTGATTGCAATGGCTGCAAGCCAACACTTTCGGATTGCAAGAAATGCATGTCAAGGTGCAAATGCAGCTGTGTCGCATTAGATCGATAAGTTCTCTAAATTACAAGTATTATATTTATGTATTTGTGTGATTTTACATGTATAAGTGTTAGCTAATTATTAGTATTTGATGAAAATTTTGAGTTTTGAATTTGATTTGCATTTGAAATTCAGGTTGCAGAGAAAGTATTGACCACTTACCTTGTGGTAAATATTAATCACATGAGTACAAAGGTTAACCATTTGGGCTATTACAAAGGGATTATTTTTAATTTTCGACTTCGTGAACTCCAAAGAAATCATTATTTCATATACAGCTATAAAACAAATCAATATAACATTTATATTCTACTCGAGCTCTAATAGCACGCTATCAAATCAAATTTCAAATAATATAATATTCGAATTAGTTTGTTGACAGTATAACACTTCATCTTACATGTATTTTTTAAAACAAATAAAAATAGACAAAACTAAACTTGTATTCATAACCAACCGAGCTCGAACCTATCTGGCTATAAAAATAGACAAAACTAAACTTGTATTCATAACCAACCGAGCTCGAACCTATCTGGCTATAAAAATAGACAAAACTAAACTTGTATTCATAACCAACCGAGCTCGAACCTATCTGGCTATAAAAATAGACAAAACTAAACTTGTATTCATAACCAACCGAGCTCGAACCTATCTGGCTATAAAAATAGACAAAACTAAACTTGTATTCATAACCAACCGAGCTCGAACCTATCTGGCTATAAAAATAGACAAAACTAAACTTGTATTCATAACCAACCGAGCTCGAACCTATCTGGCTATAAAAATAGACAAAACTAAACTTGTATTCATAACCAACCGAGCTCGAACCTATCTGGCTATAAAAATAGACAAAACTAAACTTGTATTCATAACCAACCGAGCTCGAACCTATCTGGCTATAAAAATAGACAAAACTAAACTTGTATTCATAACCAACCGAGCTCGAACCTATCCAGCTATCGCATCATATCATATATATGTGTATATTAAACTCCATTTCAGCAAATCAGAATTCCATTTCTAAATCCTTGTATGCAAGACAAAAAGGGATGTCACATGCATGTTGCTTCTTGCATCTAGGCTTTTAAATTAACATACAAAAAGAGATGTCCAGAATGATCTAATATAGCCTTTGAAAGACCTCTAGGCAAACAAGAAATAGCTTATGAAGCAAAATGCAAAGAATCATTGGACCAACTACATTAATACAAGTATAATAAATTACATATAATCTTATACAAAACACAACTATAAACTGCAGAATGACTTATAGCAATTTACAGCATTCACATATTATTTTTCCGGTGAAAACTCAACCAGTTTCACAAGCACACTAACTAACTCATCATTCAATATCTCCAGATCTTAAAACAATATTCTGAACCTTGAATCTATAAAGAATTTATCATACCATATTTTACCCTTCTTTCCTTTTACTTTTCAATTTCAAGAAAATGTTGTGTTGACCATCTGTCCAGGAACCATATAAAACTCTTTTCCATATACAATTTTACTATTTGGCATCTTTGATTTCTGACCATTTACAAGTTACCTGCTCAAGGATCTTGCCTTTTATGGAACACCTCTCTCTTTTCTGTCCTTGGCAAAAAGATTTCGCAGCCTGTATGATTGTGCTTCAATTAATTTGTAAGTAGAAGGATAATTCCATGGCACAAAGGAAAACCGGTCACTATATTCCTCCACCCCTTCAACTAGTAACTGCCAAATTAATGCTCCTGCACCAGATTGCCCCTTTTTTGCAGAATCATAAATTTTATTGTACACAATTTTCAACAGAACATCTAAGTCATATAATCCCTTGTTATTTACATGCCTTGTAGAACCCACTTCTGTAAAAAGAACAGGTTTCCTTAGCACGAATTCCCCGTCACTTATATGAGAATCCACCCAAAGGGAAAGATAATTTGCTTTTGCTTCAGAATCGGCATGTGGGATCCTGCAAGTAGTATGTGTACAAAGGTATTAACAAAAGATTGACAACTCAGAGATATGAATACCAACGGATTCAGCCTTCAGGCAACTACAGAACCAAAGTCATATATACTACAATACTGTGAGCATAAAAGTGAATATAAAAGTTTGAAACTCAAATGATGTTTCAACCTTAGAAGTTGGACCTCCCAAATGTCAACAGCCTTAGGTGTTAACACAACCTAATGATAGATAACTGTAATGAAAAATCACACATCATAAGAAGTTAATAAGAAAATACTAACCAGCTATCTGGGTAAGCATGAACTGAGGCAAAATCAATGTTGTCGATTGCTGAATTCTGTATAAAGTCTGATCCAAGTGAGGCTGCCCATTCCCCAGGATTCACTTCTGATTTGTTAGTTGTGTTCAGGCCATAAAACCCTTCTATTCCAACAGTCACTAGATGTCTTCTGTCCAAGCTTTTGATAAATGCAGCCATCTCAGTTATCCAAGCCTTCAGTCAGAAAAAAAATTTCAACAAAATATTAAATCGAAAAAAACCAAACGTCGCTTGATAGACCAAAACAGACACTATGCTTATAAAACAGACATAAGGATACCTCTCACGACAGAGGAAACACCTAAAAATAACAATTTTTGCATAATAGTTCTCCTAACATGACTCCACCCTTAGCTTCATCCACAGTTACTAGCTTATTCCCTTGATGATCATTTTTACTACCCAAATGGAATGCTAAAAATTAGAAACCATCAGAAAGCAAGTTCAAAGCTCACCTGAAGAACAGGGGCTGATGAACTAGATGCACAACGAGGCTCATTCATGAGTTCCCAAGCAAAAATTGCCGGTTCGTCAGAATAACTAACTCCACTTATAGAGTTCTTTCTTGTCATAATTGCCTGCAATGTAGAAGTTTATGATTAAAAATCAATATGATGCAGGAAAAGAACTATCAATTACCAATTTTCTCAATCAGTAGTGTGGTTCCCAGACTAGCACTATGGAATATAATGAAAACAGGTCTAACACATGATATGTGGCCCTTGAATTGGCAACTTTCTCCAAACCAGATTACTTCAAATAATTGAATTTCAGAAGAAAACACTTTAAGCAGTAGATAGAACAAACAAGAGTAAATTACATGAGATTCCTAGGCGCCTCTAGTGGAAAGACCTTGTTGAAAATTGTGTTGAGCTATAAAATTCAATCATGTCCAATGTCCTTGCTTATCCTATGATTTATAAAGGTCAAGCTGTATAGTAGAGTTTCCTGTAATGACAATCCTCCAAATGCAGTGATAGATGGTTAACAGGCACACAAAGTTTAGCTAGCATTAGCATCCCAAGCTCATCATTTCCTATTTTATGCAGACCAAGTTGCACGATGAAAGATTTAGGACCGGTCATGTGGCCCCATCAAGCATTTTTACAATGCTCTGCATCACATAAGTATGATCCTGCGATCTCTTCCTATGGCTATGGTTATCACTAAAGGCATCCTAAAGGAGCTTGACAACGGAAATTACTTAGACAACTACCCTTCATAGTACATTTACAAGACCAATCAGTAATTGAAATCCAAACCCATAAACCTAAGATGAAAAGAACATAGCGCAAAAGCTACATAATATCCCAGAGGCAACAGGCCCAGTTGTTTGTACATGTGATTTTGATTCGGTTATCTCATATTCAAACCACTAGGAATTGAGGGCAGTGTAACACCATGCAACAAATAATGCTAAACTAAAGGAACTTTGAAATCTACATTCAGTGATCCAAGGCAAGGAGAATGATGCGTCCATAACATAGTCAGTATCACAACACAAATGGCTATCTCCACATTGGTTGTTCATCTGGCTACATAGGTGGCTACACAGGCATCCATTGCGCAGTCCAACTATCAGATCAGTCACATAATGCAGAATCCAATGGCATGACTTGATGGGTAGAAAAACAGTAGCTAACCTTGATATAGGTCTTGTAGTAATCTTTAATTGTTGGGTTTGAAAAGAATGAATCATCGGATGAAGAAACATTAGTACCAGCTTCTTGCGCCCACTTCACATACTGAGCTTTTCCACCAAATGCATTCAAATTATTCACTAAACTTAGGATTAACCTTATGTGATGCTTCCTTGCCTCCACAATCACATAGTCTAATCCCTACAGTCATAAATTCACAAATTAGATTCAATGCTCAACCCGTTCAAAATAATTAACCTGTTTTTGCAGAAAAAATAAATATATGAAAATACATTAGCTTGTAGGCAACCAAATAACCGATTCTAACAACATAACAGCTACCCATTACAATTTCTTTACTGCTTCCTATAAGATTGATTAACTATGAGAAATCAACAATTCAAAAACCATAATAAAAAAACACCAAAATCAAATCCCTTCTCAGGGTATAAGTCTAAAATTATCAATTCTGCATAAAAAAGGACGACCAAGGCCAAAAAAAGAAAGAAAAGAAGACAGAAACCTGAAAGACCCTCTCATTGAAAACACCAGGAGAGACCTGTAAAGCACTGGAACCATTACCATCACTGAAAGCCCAGGTCCTGCAAACAGTCAACCCCAATTCAGCTCCTTTCTTGAGCATCTTAGAAACCTTGGATCTTGATGGGGTCCACACACTCTCTTGCATCAACCAGTAAGAGTTCCATCCATTAATATAAAGCGTTGATAGATCCTGATCACCGGGACCACCATTGATTATGATGAATTGGGTGGAGTTGGTGGAGACAAAACCCATCTTGGGTTGCCATAGGAGGACCGAGAAAGTGAGGTTGTTGCTGAAGTTTAAGTAGAGAAGAGAGACTAATAAGAATATGCCTAACAGAGGATACAGTCTGACTTTCCATGGAGGCTCCATTCCTTCATTTCTTGATGGAGCAAGCAACAAGCATTACGGTGTGGAGAAAAACGCAACAAAAATAATAATAATAATAAAATCCATTCACCTAATTCATTGGATAGGGAAAAGTATACTTATTTCCCTAAATTATATTATAACTGGTCGTGATTCATTGCTTGGGGTGCGCCTATATTTAAATAATTATTATTATTATATTTCATTTTGAAAAACTTTTGATTTTTAGATTGAAGCTAGGTTTTAATGCAGGTGATCTGTTTTACAATGATTTGATTTATATTATAAATAATTTTATATATTTTCATTAAATTTAGAACAATTTATATTACATTTAATTTAGAATAATTTACAAAGCATTTATACCACATTAAATTATGAAGTAACTAATTATACAAATAAGTAAAAATAAATTTTAGTCATATTTATCTTAATAAGCTTCTCTTTCTCCTCCTTTTTCCATATGCTAAAAATAATTTTATAAATTTACATGAAGTTTGTAATAACCTACATAATGCATTTATAATAATTTACAAAGTAGCTGTAAAACGCATTTACAAAATGATTTTTATTATACTAACTTTACAATAATTTCTTAATTTACAATAATTTATGTACATAATAATTTATATAATACATTTTCAATGATACATTTATAAAAATCTACTATTAATTATTATCTATCCGAATCAACTCGCATGTGCAAGGTTTTTCTCGCTCCACTCCATTTGAGTCAAGATTTTAACTGCTTACTTATTAACATCTCTAACTGTATAACCTAGCCGGACGACCTGCACATGGAATTTTAATTTCAATAACTCTCGTTTTGGGTTAAAACAAAATTTCTTGCGGAACTCATCCGGGTTCGTGATGTAATCAGAGATGTTAATAGGTAAGCAAATAAAATCTCTATTTCAAATAGAATATAGTGAGAGAAATATTGCACATGCACAGAAAAATTGATACCGATAGATGATAATTATTAATAAATTTTTATAATTGTATTTTATAAATCTATTATATAAATTATTGTAGCACAGAAACATGGAACTTTAGCACTTTATTTTTTCCCAAGAACTAAAAGTACAGGATCCTCCTACAAAATTAAATAAACAAACAGAAATAATGAGTATTAAATGACCAACATAAATAAAAGATATTAAATCTAATTGCATAATGTATTTTTAAGCTATAAAATTAATATTGAAAATGATTCTATGAAATTACGTAGACACTTCTTATCAAAAAAAGTTTTACATGCTAATGTTTCAAAATCTACACATCTAATTATCATAAGCTTCATATTCATATATAAATGACGAAAGTAAGAAACAACACTGAATAGAGATGAATAAGGATAGATAATTATTTGAATAAGAATAAATAATTATTCACATTTGATGGAAAATCATCACAAAATTGATGTGCTGCCGCTCTAAATACTCAGCTATTTTGATGACAGGCTTACATAAAAATTTTCAATCTAGAATAAAATTTCATACCCAATGCCTAAAAAAAAAAAGCAAGAACTATGCATAGAGAGCCAAAAAGTATATTTACGTTTCTTACACATTTATTTGTCATATTTATTCCTTGCTAATGTTCTCAGAAAACAATACTGCCAAAAACACAGAATTAAAAAAAAAAAATTATTATCATCTGCTTACAAAAAATACACTCAAGACTATTATAAAAATATTTCCAGCATAGGTAGCATTAAAAGGAAAAATTGAATGATAGATTGAAACTAATAAAAAAATCTATAGGCAGCATAGTTTTGAATGATAGATTGAAACTAATATATCCAGCATAGGCAACATATTCAACTTTTGTAATAACCAAACACATTCAAACTAATTAAAAAACTATTTCCATCAAGAAGAAACACAGAAAAATTATTAAGATTATTAGGACTGAAGTGCTCACCAAGTGGAAAAAAAGAACAAAAAAAAAAAAAAAAAAAAGACTATATAAAAATATCCAAGCATAGGTTTTAAGCAGTTAAAAGGAAAAAATGGAATGATAGATTGAAACTAATAAAGAAAATCTATAGGCAGCAATAAGTTTTGAATGATAGATTGAAACTAATATTATCCAGCCATAGCAACCATATAAACTTTTGTAATATACCAAAACCATCAAAACTAATTAAAAACTATTTCCATCAAAGAAGAACACAGAAAAATTTATAAGATTATTAGGATGAAGTGCCACCAAGTGGATAAAAAGAACAAAAAAAAAAAAAAAATACAATATAATTTACCCATAGAAAAAAAAAAAAAAAAAAAAATACAATATTAATTACCTCATAGCTCCAAGAATTGGAGTTGAATTTTATGGCAACTACATATTGATAGATTGAGAAAAGATAGGTGGGAGAGAATAGCAAGTATTTGTGATGTTTGGAGTTGATTGATTTTACAGAGAAACAATTAGGGAATATGTAAATAATTTATTTTGAATTTATACGTGGCAAACATGCAAAGGGTAAAAAAAGTGAAAATTATATACATTTGGTTTACATGCAAAGGATGAAAAATGTGGTAATTGGACATTTGGCCAGGATGCACAAAATTTGTTAGAATTTTACACACTTGGTAAACATGCAAAAGTTGAGAAAGAGTAAAAATGAAACATGTATTGTCTTGTGTGTAGCTTGCATGTGGTAAGCATGCAAAGGGTAAAAATGTGGCATATAAATTTGGCAAACATGCAAAAAACTAAAAATATGATGATTATGAAAATTTTGACATTCAAGCAATAAATATTTTAAAAATTAAAGTTTGAATTATTGAGAAAGTTTAATCATTAAAAATAAATAAATATTTACATAAATAATAGATAGATTATACATAAACAAATAAAAACTAAACCTGAAAGTCCTTTGCAAATGGTTCTATTGGGAAGGCTTATTGATTTCACAATAGTAAATTGATTAATAATAAATTAAAAGCAGAACCTCAATTGGAATATGCGCATGATGTTTTGGTTTGCCAATATTGATGCATGGAAGATCAGCAGAATAATGCAACCATATTTGGTGATCATTAACAAAATAATCATAAATAGTTAATTCAAGTGGCTGACCAATATTCTTTTGTTCTAATTTAAACTTACAAAAAGTAAACTATTTAAAATATAACATAATGAGTGAAAACTTAACATTTTATCCTTTAAAAACACATAAATAATTACAACTTTGATATTAACATTTGGTCAAGGAAAACATATAAAGCCTTCTAATTATTTCTATCTCGATCTATGTTCAAGTTTCACCCATTTGAAGTTCTAAAGAAATTGCGAAACTACTAATTGTTTCCACTGAAAGATATTTACCATCAAAAAGATTTAAGAAGCAAAATGACAGCAAATTAAAGCATTAATTGGTCAAATTTATAAGTAATTTCACTTCAAAACAAATTAAAGATATCAACCAGGAATATTCTTTACTATTATAAACGAGATTTCTTCAATAAGCTTCCTAGACTTAATTAAATATTTAATTAAAAATTTAGAAAACAAAATAATAACTAGTTACCTTGTCTTCAAAAAGTGAAGAAGCATCTTAAGACAAGGCGAGACAGTTTTTTATGATCTTGCACGATCTATAAAATGCAAAATTGTAATCGTTAAAAGCAAACAAATATTTACGTAGATAATAGATAGATTATACAAAAACAAATAATAAAAACTAAACTCGAAAGTCCTTTGCCTCTCTATATCACATTGAAAAGACTTATTAATTTCACAGTAGTACTCAATCTCAATCCAAAATAAAAGCATGAGGCCAAAAAGCTGAAGAACTAAGGGAAAAATTCGAAGTAAATTGTAGGGATAGGACTTAAAAAAATTGCGAAAAACTAAATACAGGATGATAAGAGCAAAACACTAAATTGATTAATTATAAATTAAAAGTGGAACTTCAATTGGAATATAGGCACGATGTTTTGGCTTGCCAATATTGATACATGGAAGATCAACAAAATAATGCAACTATATTTGGTGATCATTAACAAAATAATCATAAATAGTTAATTCGAGTGGCCAACCAATATTCTTTTGTTCTAATTCAAACCTTGAATTAGAAACTTAACATTTTATCATTTGAAAACGCATATAAATGAATAAGGTTAATCGAAACGAAGTGTTAAAATAAAAAGAAAGAAGAGTGCACAAGGAAGAGCTTGGCATTTATAAAACAGATTAAGTTTTTCAATTTCTCATTAGGTCAACTATAAATAGTAACATAAGTAGTGCAAAGCCAAGAGGTAACAGAAGTACCAAAAATATGACCCCTTGGCTTTGCTATACTGTAAATCAATTCCTTCCAATTGAAGCTTAATGCCCAAAATAGTACAAAGAAGGAAATGGATAAAAGAAGCACCTCCACTTTAACTAATCAATCATATAAACAATTAATCTAAGGTGAAGGAGAGGCTCTATATTAGGAATCAAGTAGACATTAATATTATTAATTCACATAAAATAAGATTATTAGAAAATAGAACAATTGGATGCAAGATATTAAAAACAAAAAAAAGACAGCAATAAATTGAAATCCTACAATCAAAAAATTGCATATTTCAATGCAATTAAATTAGATGATATAACAGATAAATCCTATCTTTATGTTTCAGTTTCACTTATTTGAAGTTCCAAAAAGACTGTGAAACTATTAATTGTTTGCGTTGAAAGATATCAACAATAAAAAAGATTTAAAAAACAAAATGAAAGCAAATTGAAGCATTAATTGATCAAATTTAAAACTAATCTCATTTTAGTCATTAAATATGTATTTGCTTTATTAATGAAACTTTTTCATTTTAGAGACCAAATATAATCATATTATTATTTGAAAATAGCCCTACAAAATAATAATAGAGAGGAAAAAGAAAGACCTCATTCTATTAGCAAAATGTTTTAAAATTTTAATAGCCTCAAGAATACTACACACAAAATTAACCCAAAGATCAATGTATAAATAGTGGGAAAAAAAAAAAAAATTAGAGGATACACTTTGCATTGCACATAGAACTATCTTAGCATGTCTGTAATAGACTAATGATGAAGTTAATAAATTGTGTGTATAACAAATT